AGCGTGTGTTTCTTCGTTCGAAGTTGCTGAGTGGGGTGGCTCAAATTCGACGTCGAGGATTGATAGAGGTCATTTTGTCTCGAATTCTCCTCAGGTAAGTAAACCAAGTGTAAATACATATTAAATAAAAGTACAGTGTCCTGCCGTTGCCCTCAAAAATAAGTTCAAATTGTAGAGTAGGATACAAAAGGAAAGGAAGACAGTAAATGATACAGAGTAAGACAACTCCCCAACTGCAGCCGCCATGACAGTTCTTACTGCGCCACGTGATTTTTGAGCAATGGTGAGAAATTTTTCCTTTGTGGTTAGTTTATTGATAGTTTTTTATCGCTTTTTATTTCAATTCTCGTTTTTATTCTATATGCAGTCACTTATGCTCACACTATGTCAAAATTGGATTTGTTGTAAACGCTCTTGTTACTTCCCTAACACCCAACCATTGCCGCAAAACCGAACGCGTGATCGTGAAAACGTTTTGACGCAAAATATTTTAGGAAACCAGAGGACTCAAGTCTCCATCTTAAAAAATGATGCTGTGAATGGCAAAAATTCCCGATTATGTCAAGTTAAGTATAGCACCGAATATTTCGCGCGGGTTCGAAGTCGGATCGAAGCCGTTTTAACCCCGACTGGGTTACCATCATTTGGGTGAGAAAATTCAATCCCAAAATTCCTCTCTCCAGCCAGGAATATCAATAGTTTAAATAGATATCAGTAAACTGTCAGATGAAAGATCTGTCGAAATACTTAAGAGAGCCCATCCAGGAGAAAAAGAGAGGCTCCCTGTATCTTCATGTCATCTTCACGTAACAAATACCGGTAGTAGCGATGGGAGTTATACTGTCGTGTGTAGCGAGTGGCTTTTATCTCGAATCACTTTCAGGGGATTTCGAATGTAACGTTACTTTACTGTCTAAGAATGGTAGCTTAATGATCTCTTGTTTGACTTCTTTCGATCTAGACATCAATCTTTGTCATTCACAATAAACTGAAGTACATCTACCTACTTAAAGAAGGGTATGCTCGTATTCGAGATAGATTCAAACTATATCTTCTATTTTGGTTCTCTCTTCAGCAGAACGTCAAGCATAGAATAAGAACATCGCAAAATAGGAAATTCGAGGAAGGAAAGAGAATGTTTACAACGTCTAACACGTCAGTAAATAATTTTTTTATTCGGAATTTAGTAACTGCATTTGTGCGTCTGATCTGCTTCGAAGGCTTGGCCCTTTCGCTCCTACGATCACATTAGTAATTCTCTCTACTGTCTTCCATTCGATTATTTTGAAGTTAGTTTGGAGAATTTGCTATTGGATCAAATGATATCCCCATGTCGATATATTTTTTTTATTCTCATCACTTGTCTGCTTGATATT